CCATGCAAGACTTCTGCTATCTTTTATATTCTTGCCTGAAACACAAAGTTACATGTGGTTTTAATGGATTTTCATATGACAACTTTTATAGTCCTTGCATTGAGAATATTAGTGAAATTATTATATTACTTATTTGTATTCATATTCCTGGCATGATAAAGAGTCTTGAAATGAAACAACATGCGAATATTTGAAATTACTTCATAATTCATTAGAATTTAAAAGTAGAATTTAAGACATATGACAGCGAAAGTGAAATTTGCACACATTCTTTTTTCCTTATCAAGAAAGAGTCCTCAAATGTTTTTATTCTTGGGAACCTAAACATTGAAGAATATGAAATTCCACTGATGGCAAATTTTAGATACAGTTTACAACCATGATTGACCCCAACTTTTCTATTGTTAAGCAAGACAGTTGTGAGTTTTGCCCCACTTTATGACCTTTCCTGATACAGTTAAATGAATCACTGCAGTTAAGTTAGTAACACAGTTGTTAAGTGAATCTGGCCTTCCCAGAGGTCAGAGGTCGCAAAAGGTGATCACATGGCCCTGGAACACTGTAATTATCATAAATACATACAAGTTGTCAATTGTTTTGAATTTTGATCACATGACCGGATGCTGCAATGCTCATAAGTGTCAAAAAAGGTTACAGTTCACTTGTAACTTCAAATGGTCACTAAACAAATGTTTGTAGGTCAAGAACTACCTATAAGCTTGGCTCATTTTTTCTTTAACAATTTTGTATTTAGGAAATCTAGCTTTGGAAATTATTTCTTTTAAATTTCTTTCAAGGTTTGAACACTATTATAAATTGTAAGTTATGGTGATATCAAACTGAGAATGTCTATTTATTTCAGTTTTTCTAAAATATAAATTAATGTCCAGCATATTGTAGTGTACACTTTGCTTCAATAAATTAAATTTGCATTGATAATTGATGTTTTAATGATGATTTACTAGGATGATTCTCTTTCTATGTTTCATTTTCATTAGAAAATATTTTTAATCTAATTAAGATGTATTTCTTTAAAATGTCTAAGTAACCTTAGAAATCACAATGTAATAAGACGAGTAAAAGTTATCATTGAATATCATGCTTCTTACATATTAAATGCAATTTAAAATTACATTAACAGTTTAAATTTTGATAGTTAGGTAGGTGATTGTGCAGATTTGATGCTTTATTAACTTAGTTGGTCTAAACAAAGGAAGCATCCTATGAATTTATTTACTTCACCTAGAAATTTTCACAAATATGCATGATTACTTACACGTTTTTAGACAAATTGCATTCACATCCTGATGCAAATTTACAATAATTCATTTCAGCAAATTTGCAATCCCAATGCTACAAGAAAAAGAAACAGCTGGAAAATGCAGATGGGAATATAAAGTAACGGCATCTGGCATAATGTTACACATGGTTCTCTAGCCTCTGGTCAATTAAGTGAAAATAGAGGTTAAGGATCATTGTAAACATGACTTTTAAAAAGGGGATTGCCAATAGGCTACAGTATTTAAAAATCATATAAGTACTCAAATTATTTTACTTTACATACACACCATAATGAATCTTGAAAGCTTACATATGCAGAGATTGCATTCAATATCAAAATGTGTAATCCTACCAATATTTTATCTCATATTTTTTTCAAAATGATCACAAACTATACTATTTCTTTTGAATAGATAACTATATAGATGCAAACTGAAAGCTAGTGGTTAAGGTACCAGGCTAGAAAATGAGAAACCATGACTTCAAGTCCCATCTTGAAGTCTGGATGACCAGCTGGATGACTTTGGGCCAGTCTTCCTGTCTCAGCCCACGGGGTTGTGGTGGGGAAAATAGGAAGAGGAAACAGTATTCTATATGTTTACTACCTTGACTTATTTGTGAAAGTAATAAAGGTGGGAAATACATACATACACACTGCTAAAGACCTGTTTTTTTCTCCAAGGTGATTGAACCCTTTTAGTTGTTTTTTTCTGTTTAATTCTCTAGATTTTGCCTCTGGTCAATTTTCCTTTTTTCCTGATGTGACTTATTTTCTTTTTAATTTGTAAATTACCCAGATTCACCTTGGATTTGGCTGTCCTTGAAATTACATTCATGATAAATCTGTACATACATCTTGTGATAACTCCCCAAAGTAGGTTTCAATGTTAAATATAACATAAGTAGGTCTATCTCTGGACCAGGAGTATCATGGGATTAAAATAACGTTTTGCAAATACTCTGTAACAAACTCTGCAATCTGCAATTATCATATGCACGTGCACACACCAGAATGATGCAGAGTTAAAGGAATGGGTAGATCCAGGTTCTGTACTAAAGTCTGTTATAAAGCTTTTGGCTGCTCACTTTCACCTTAAATTGGGAAATCTGCATACTTAGTCTCAAAAAAGGCTAAGTATGATTGAAATGCCTCCAGCAAAGCTTACTGTTTGCATACAGTAATCCTTGATTTATGACTGGTCGCTTAGCGATCAATTGAAACCATGATAGACCCCTCCCCTAAAGTACTTATGACTTGTTTCAAAGTTCCAGAGGCCAAAACCTTCATTTTATATCAATTTATAGGTACGATAAAGGACATTGATCCCATTAGAAGGTGCTAAAATCAGTTGAAAGATAATATCCTTTGAAGAGCAGTTTTTTTTTTGTAGACGTGCCAAGTCAGGCCATAGTAAATTAACCCATGTTCTTCTCATCCCATATTCCTTCAATAAAGGTCATGTCATGCCTTATACTCCTATAATCTTCAGTACCATTTTAGAAGGTGTCTTAACTTGTAGCCTTGTTGGCTTTGGGATTCTTTTGCTTTCATTGGCAAAGAGTTCACTGATCACTGTAGTTGTGTATGCCATTAAAATATAGTTGGTTGGTTCTATCTCCACAACAAAATACCTATTGACTGTTAGAACACTGTTTTCAAAGTGTTTTCAATCATTTTATTATATGTTGTAAATTAATCTCTCTAGGTTCAGTTATTACACTGATTGGAATGCAGAATCCCCCCTCCTTTTCCCATTCTTTTTCTTCCCCCAATACTTTTGTGAAAATGAAGAATGTTTATGTTCCTACAGTACTTTAAGATTCAATTCTACTCTTGGAGATTTGAATTCATCCAAGGTCATGTATTCCTCAATTGAGTTTCCATGAAGCTCAAAACAGAATATTAATTCTTCAGACCAATTTTCCCAACTACCTATGGATCATGTAGCTTTCTAGAAAAGATAGTTGAGTATTTCTGGCTAATCTCACACTCTGCCATCTTCATAATGTAGTTGAAATTCTTTTAATTTTCATTTAAAAATATATGTGAAGAAATCCTTTTTTTCTTAGCTTACTGTAAAGTTATCTTTTCTTAATACCGTCTTTAGGAATCTGGATATCTCTGCATATTCTTTCTTGGAAAAGTACTTCTTTCCACTGCTGGTATCTGCCTTTTATTTATTTTAGGCTTTGTGTGATCATATTTGCTTTCAAAATTGGGTTTCATTTTCCCCCTTGATAGAATTACTTCTTCTTGTGCTTTTGTTGTTTCTTTTTTAGAAACTCTAGATATCAGGCTCCTTATTAGCTCCTCTGTAATGGAATCTTATTAAATAATGTTTATTAAAATCTACCTTAAGAACACATTTGATTAAACTCAATTTATCTCCTTCAAATCGAGAAATCCATCATTACATGGTTGTTTCCTTCCAAACTATTCACTTCTCTTTGAACTCTTTAGTCTTCCCAATTGAGTGGGACCACGCCTGAGTTAAATAAATTCAATGAATTCAACAGCCAAATCTATTTTTAAATGCTGAAACCAGTTAAAATCAGAGATTGTGAAAAGAAGATAAAACTCATGCAAAGGCATGAACAAAAAGACTTAAGAATCAAACCAAAACATTAATTCCACAACTTTGAACTTTTTTGAGTTAAAATTGCAGCAGATACAGAAGAAGTAGAAATTACAGGAAAACTTTCAGATTTCAAACTTGTAAACAATTTTTATGGAAACATATGGGCACAACAAAGATCGCAGGAATCAAATCTCAAACTTTATATACAGCCCATAATTTTTAACTCTGATTTGCCTTTAACTCAGCCAGCGTACATCCAAAGTGACAAAAGGAACAGTAAATAACAGCTAGCCCTGCTGGCTTTGAAGGTTTTTGGGTTTTTTATCCCTAATAAATATTAAGAGTAGATAGTCTTTTCGAACCTGGCAGTCTCCTAACAGCCTTGTCTATGACTAAAATTTTAAACCTGCAGTAACAGCCATGTTGACGTTGAATTCTGGGAATCGTAGTCAAAATCAACTGGAGAGTATCAGCCTGAGAAAGGCAGCCACAGATACCACCGTAAAGCGTAGCAGCTAATGGGAAGCAACATCAATGCAATTCCTTATACAGCCACTACGTCTATCTAGGAGGTCAGTCAACCCGGACAAGGAAGGAATAGTTAAAAAGCTCTCGGTATTCCCTCCCCTTTCAAATCATGGGTAACTATGCATGGTGCGTTCCATCAAAAAACTAATAGTTTACAAAAACATTTTGCAATCCTGTCAATTCGCCCAGATGTGAAACGGACGTTTCTTGACTTGCAGGGGAAACAGCTAGAAAGGCGTACTTTTATTATTTCCAGAGAAGATTGGCAAAGGGCGTAAACCCCACTTGAAATGTTAGGGGCTTTGACACGCATAGACAGGAATGGAGTACTGTGCGTCTTCTAGAGATATGCCTGCCCTTTCACGGGCAGCGTCGGACGAGGTCTCAACTCTTAACTGAGGAAAGAACACCGAACAGTAGACGGCATGTTTTGCCCAGTTAAGGTTGCACGGCAATTGCGTTGAGGTTGGGAGTGAAACGAAGCTGCTCGAAGGCGGTAGAACTGACGGAAAAGAAAAAGGCAAGCGTCTGAGGCCAAGCGGGGCACCAGAGGGACTGTGGGAGGGGGCCGTAAGGAATGCGGCCGGGTGTCAACAAGAAACACGCGAAAGGGAGACGGCCGGCCTGGACTCCAGTCCTTTCAGCCCTGCGACGGCAGGCGCGTGTGAAGAAGCAGCTTTTCTCGTACGTGAACTGACGGCGGCGGTAGCGCCTTCGCTATCCCCCCTCGCGCCCTTGCGGAGACGGAGGGCGCAGGAGGAGGACGAGGAGGCGGGGGGGAAACTGCAACGCCTGGAGCAGCAGCAGCGAGAGGAGGAGGAGGAGGAGGAAGTAGCGGCGACCGACGAGAAGGGAGCTTGGCGGAGGCGGAGCCGGCGCTTGAGCCCGGCCGGCCTGGACTCGGCTCATTACGACGGCCGCCACCAGCAGCAGCAGCAGCGTTTGGCTGCCTTCGGTGAGTCGCCTTCTGCGCGGTTCCTGTTCTTACGCCTCCGGTCCGAGAGCCGCGCGCTCGTGCGGTGCAAGAAAGGGAATCCGGGCCTCGGTTGATTGGCGGGGGAGGGGGGGGCGCAGTTCAGGCCCCGATGAAGCCAAGCGACGGCCTCCAGCATGGAAGTCTTCCTGCTTGGCCTGACTCGGCCTCAGTTCGCCCATCCCTGCTCAGCCCCGGTTGTCCCCCTTTTGTTCTGTCGGGGGCTTGCAACTACACAGCCGAGGCCTGGGGAGAAGAAGGAGAAGGAGAGAAAGAGAGATTAAAAAAAAAAAAAAGAGCTTCGCTGGCGCCTGCGAAGGGACGAGGAGGCGCAGCGTAGTCATCCAAGGGAAAGGGGACCGTCCTGCAGTTTTATCCCGGCTCCGTGTTGCAGCCTCCACCTTCCTAACATCTACCCCTCTCCCTCCGCCCCTAGCCAAAATCAGCAGGGTGGCTGCGCCGGGGCCATAAGGAGTTGGATTCACCCCCTAAGAGGTGGGATTGGATTCCCTTTGGAGTTTGGGGCCACCTGGAAAAGTCTGGCTTATAAACTTCGTGGTCGCCTAATAAGCACTTTTGGGGGGGGGGTGGTGTCTTTTCAACATCATCCTGATGTTCCTTCCTCCACCCTCTCAAGTTCCAGGCACTCTTATGGGCGCCAAAGAAAAGAGAAGGGGGAAAAAAAGAACTGCTGTGTGCTTTTAGCTCTTGTTATTAGTTTTGAGAATCCTCTTTGAACTGCAGGGGGAAAAGGGAAAAGAACAGGGAACAGGCTGAGATTGATGGTGGAAGGATCTGAAGAACTCCTACTGTGAATCCCCATGCCAGCCTCCTTTCTTCTTTGGCACATCAGAAACAATGAAATCTAGACAATTAATTTTGTTCTAAGGTAGGCCTCTTACAATCCGAGCCCAGTGATCTCTCTGAAGTAAACATTCATTAACAGCACATCATCTGTCGCTCACTTCCATCTTGAAAAAGTATATTTAACTTGTTAGTTGAGACAGTTGGCTGTAAGGCTGGTGGTGTACCAAATGGTACAAAATTCAGTGAAACTATATTATTTTCTTTGTGTAAACATCATGCATAAAATACATAGAACATGATCCTAAAGGTGTATTTCCATTTTTACTGAAGCTCCTCCCCCCCTCGTATTTGCCTTTATATAAAATTGAAAACAATTCATAAAACATGTCATGTATCAAAGTTCATGTGCTGGTGTAATTTTACCAAAGGAGGAAGGCCTCTAGTGAAACTAAAATAGTATGGCGAGAGTTATGTATAAAATGGTCTATATAGAACATAACTTAGATCTTGTTTAGCTTCTTGCTTCATTTCTGTGTGCAGCTAAACCTAATAACAATAATGTGAACATATAAATATTTTAGGGCAGGAGTGTTTGCAATCTGAATACTATACATTGCCCCGATTCATCTCTACATTCTAATCATTACTCTGAAATTATTATTTTTTTGAAGTTTTTTATTTACAATAATTCCATCTTTCTTTCAAACCGTGTGTCTACTGGGTACATATATCTTGTGCTTACAATTATAATTAATACTTTTCTTACCTATTACTCTGAAATAATTTGACTTATATTACTATTGTAAGCATACAAATTATACAATACAGATTTTAGTTAACTTTTAAAACTAGTACTGGAATTGATACTTTGCTTCCATTAATATTTAAATAAGTTTAAATATTTTTAAAAACAAAACTCTGTCAATATTTTAAACAAACTCATCCACTTGTGGCCCACACAATTCTAAGAAACAGTTCCAGATAACTTCATGATCAGATTTTGGTTTTTAATGTTTAACATAGATTCTTCATCTTACTGTTTCTAGTCCAGTTAGCATGGCCCTTATAATTTAGTAAGTCTGGAGGCAGCAAGACACAGAAAGCTGTAGTGGGGAATTTTTCCCATTCTGTTTCTATGACATATGTAGGGTATCTTTTGTTGCATCATGGGTAGCCTAGTTGTCTTTTTATTTTCATACAGTTCAAAGATGGAAAGACTGGGTAAAATCCAGAATTTATGAATTTATGCAAAAGTAAAGTGGTGGTGATTAATTTCATCCTTTGTTCTTAAATACTGGGCAAGGTTCTCCTATTGGTGGGACATAGAAGTTGATTCATTTAAAAAGTAAAATTTAAAATAACTTAAAAACAACTTTGGATAATTTTGGTTAGCAAAAAGTCCTGATTTCCTGTGATGTTGCACAAGGTCAGCACAAGTGGCGCACCCAAAAGCTATATATGAGTATAAAGAGAGGAAACGTATTTTTTTCCAGTTACAAAAAGTAGTTTCAGTTCTCGTAAAAAAAAAAAAAAAACCCAGAATGACAGTTGTCTCTTTATTACCTGGTAAAGTTATCTAAAAAGATGCTAAAAGTGCACTTGGATTTCTTTTCATAATATATACTTTTTCTTTCCTGAATAGCAATTGTATGCTGCCTGCCTTCAGAATTAGTTTCTCTCACCTTTTCTTACACTCCCTGTATTTAGCAAAAATGAGCATTCTGTTCTATATATCACTTTCTCACTACTATCATGATTTATATTGATATATATGAATTGCTTTTTCTTTGTCTGCATTTATTTATGCATTTATTATTTATTAAATGTTTTTATACTACACCACAGTCCCAAAGGACTTTTATGTAAACTTTCAGTTTTTTTCTTCCTGAATTCCTGTTCTCTGTTACATTTTAGTAATTGGACATATTTTTCTCAGTTCATTTAATGGTTAATTTGAAGAAACAAAGCAACTAAATAATGCTGACAATCGTAGCATAATTGTAAAAATAAAAAAGCTGTAATATACTTACCTTTCAGAAAAAGCTTTAATGCTATAATATTTATATAATATTGTTAGTAGAAAGCTATTTAAGTTTAGTATTAAGTGTTTCCAATGTTTCATGTAGTAAATTTAGAATTATAGATTAATAATTTTTACCCTTCTTTATTTAAGTAGCAGAAAATTTAAGATGCAGCCAATGGCCTTCCTGAATGTTACTGGCAAATCTTTTTTCTAATTGTACTGTTCTATATGAACTTTCTTCAGAGAATATTTTATTGGGCATAGGTAGAATTGCTTCAGAAATAGACTTAAGTATACTCAATGTGTTTCATATTTCTCGTTTACTTATATCATGAAATAATGAGATGTAGAATTCACTTTTGATGTGGATGTAGAATCAGTATAATTTTATCAAAACCTTACTGAAATGGCACTTCAAGGAAATGATTTGTCTGGAAAATAAGTTGATATGCTATAAAACAAATTATTGGTTAATTATTCAACAAGCATTTTAATTGAAGTAAGTTAAGGTACAGTTTTCCTGGAGTCAGGCTCAATCCATGGTGACTACATGGGCAGATCTAGGTGGTTTCTTGGCAACACTAAGATAATGAGTTGCTATTGATCTGTTTAACCATCCAGCCTACTATATTCTACTGTCCTAGATTTCTTTGTGGTTTTCAATCCAAGAACTAATCAAGTTCAAGACTTATCTTTTTCAAGGTCAGCCATTATCAATTAATATAAGTAATGTTTATAGTAACATCAAACAATAAAATTACCTTAAAGGGAAAGGCAGCTAGTGTCATGTAAGTGGTATCTGGTGATAAATGTATGACGTATACTGAGAGTATTTGCACCAAGACAAATTCCTTGTGTGTCCAACCACACATGGCCAATAAAGAATTCTATTCTATTCTATTTTAACATAGTATACTTATGTTGAGCTACTTAAAAGAAATAATCATTTGTTGAACTAAGGCAATTGTGTTATTCATAAAATGCATCCCTTTGAACTTTGGGCAGGTAAATACTTTGATACTTTATTCAAATAATAAAAGAATTGTTGCTGTGAAAACATTTCAAACTAAAAAGTAGGAGTGATAATTTTATAGCTATGAAGTTGCTATAAGTAGCTTAATTGAGTGGGATAATTTTGAGTCAAATAAGTACAAGGAAGACCAGTCTAGCAATATTATATCCTCCTACTGATACGTTTCTACATAATAAATGATGCAAGAACAGAGTTCCGTAACTTTTTTCTTCTTGTGATCAACAAAAAGATTTGATAAAATCTGTGTTACCTTTAATTCAAGCACCCTGTTCCTGTGTATTATAGAGCTAAAGATGTTCCAGGGAGGAGGCATATGTTAAATAATCTCTTTCTTCTTTGGGGAAAATGGATTCATAAGCCTTTAAAGAGTACTGCATGTATATTGTTTGATTACTTAATTACTTGGATATTCACAGCTTAATATATAAAAACCAATTGTATGTGAACTAATAGAAACTTCTAGGTGTGGTCCTTGATCTATGATCATTTAGCACCAAGGTATTTCACTTACAAAATGATGAACTGGAGTTAAAAGTTATCTTTGTGTCTCAGCTTTTCGAATAGAAAGGAATATAAGCATTGCAATTGTTTTGATTCTGCATGTGACAAGTATGGAATTTAAGTAATAGAAAAAAGCTATGGAGAAATTGAACACTAAAATAATGTGTACTTTTGTGTGTGTGTGTTCTACTGCTTTAGAAGCTTGATATTTTTTTTAAAAAAATCTATAATTAATACTTATATGTGTAAAATAAAAATAGGCTGTTTCCAGTGCTTACTACAAATTGCCATTATTAATGGTAAGAAATATTGTAAACGGTAGTTCGGTGAAATATAGAAAGTCATTCAAAGGTACCATGCAGTTAAGCATACTACAAGATCATAAATTCCATTTGCCAAGGAAAGTTCTTCCTGATTTATTTAATTATTCATAAGGCACTTAAAATACAAATTTTCTAGATGCTTACTAACATCTACAATTTTATTAGCAACTCTACAAGCATTAGTTACTAGATTGCAGGATAATGTATTTTAACTAAATCAGAGCAGCTGGAATGATAAAAATGCAACATTGCATTTCCTAGAATATACAGGTGGTGCTCAAGTTACGGCCACAAT